ATACCTCCCATCCCGAGCGGGCCCTCCAAACACCCTTTACTTGCTCAGCCCTGCTGCAGCCGACAGTTCTCTGTCCTGGACATGTGTCAGAGGGGCTAACTGGCGCCTGGTCACTGCTGTGGTCCCTCTTCACAGTAATGACAAAGCTTTCTCCTGCACTGCCCCACAAGGTGACTCAGTGGCGTCCCCTGACCCCAGCGCAGAGCCACTGGCTGGAGAGTGAGCCAGGTAGGAAGGAAAGGACTTCCACTCAAGATAAATTTCTTTTAGTAACATTCAGTAGCTGCTCGAATTTCTCTAAAAATCATTCCTGGGGAATGGAAGAGCCTGAGGAGAGGCTGGCGCTTGGCTCCCATTAGGACTAATGGCCTGGGAATCACTCCAGCCCAGGGCCGCTGGGAAAGATGTGGTTATTAGTTCCTGGTTGTTCAGGCTCCAGAGCCCGGACAGACGCAGGAAGGTTTCCCACGTGAGCCTCTGCAGCTCCGGCTCTCTGAAAAATGCCCTGGGTCTCCAAAGAAAGCTCTCCTCTTTCTGGAGTGTTCCTGGCTTCTCTGCCCTGAGCGCTCCTTGATCAGGAAGGAAAGATTTGTTGGAGGTTTGAATGTGATGGACAGGATTCTTTGCTAGGGCCAAAGCCGAAAGGGGACGAGAACACTTTCTGTTGTCCTACTCAGCCTCCCCCTTTGTATTTCCCTCCTGTTTTTGTGTGTTTGAGGCCACAGCAATGGCGCCAGGGAATAATGCGGGACTGGTCCTCGAACCCGGGTCTCTGGTGTCCCCTGCATGCACCCAGTCTGTGGGTCCTCACTCCAGCCTGCCGCCTCTATTTGGCCCTTCCTTCCATGCAGCAGGCCTGACTCCCTAGCCCCACCCTGCTTGGATGCATTTCTTGCACTGCCCTAACCAGGTAAGACAAAAGGAGAGATATGTTGAGCCAGGGAGGGTGCTCAGGTGAGTCCCATCCCTAGGGAGAACCGTGCCCTGAAGGAAGCAACACAGCTGTTTGTGGGTCTCTTCCTATGGTAAGGCAGTGGCTCTTGCTAACTCTCTGGGACCCTTGGCAGCTTATTAAAGGGTCCCCACCATCACCATGGCTTTACCCTGTTAGTCCAGCTCATAAAGGTGGCATCTAGAGCCACTCATCACTGTAGCTGACACTGTGTGTCCCAAATAATTCCCAGGCTTTCTCTTCCTCTTCCTTGATTATCTCAGGGCATCAAATAGATTTTATTAGAAAAGACAGTTTGTCACCGGGTTTCACATTCTAACGAGCGTAAGGAGAATGGTGGAATCCATGGCCAGCGAGAAGTCGTTACTCGAGGGATGAAACATGTTTCATACAGGTTAGAGAGAGCCACTTGGTCGCCTGTTGGTGTCCCCTAAACCCTCAATAGGACCGGAACGGTGTGAGCAGATCAAGGCTGTATTGTTTCTTGAAAGCACAGACAGGAAACTTTTCCAAATCTCCAAATTTCATAAGAAGCAGCACTTCAAGAGCTTGACACTAACTATCCTTGGGACTTTGGTGTCTTTGAGGCGGTCCCCACAGTTTTGAGCAAGTCTGGCCACTGTCCGCAGAGCTGGTGAAGACAGGAAGAATCATTCGTGTGTTGGTCTCATTGGAAAACCTCAAAACTAACAAGTCAACTGAGTTTGTTAAAATTAATTCTTATTGTGATAACCACACGTAGCTTGACTCATTGAGTATGAAAGCCACAGAATGATGAAACTTCATCTATTCTAGGCTAGTAAGCTGTTTTAAAGAAAGAGCTGAAATTGTAATTTATGTTATGAATGTAACTTAAAGAAATGTGTAATAATTTGAGATATATTGAAAAATGTTTTCAGGGTTATATGCAAATAAGCACTAATTAATGGAATGTTTCTGCAAGTATGATGTGGTAATACTACTTACAGCCTCTGAATGTGAGAAATGGAGAAAATGGAGCAGTCACTTGAAAGAAATCCTAAACAAATTTGTGTTTTTATGCTTATTCTAAGATTACGAGGTGTAAACTGTTAAGGTGAGTGCCTCAAACGGGCCCAGTAACTTTTTGACAGAGTAGTTAACTCTTCTGCTCTTGTTTCCTACAATTTTCAAAGAATGACATTGCTTCCTGGAACTAGATTTTAATTTTGTATGACACTCTGAAGCAGGCATAATGCCAATAAATAGGGCAATATAAATTCCAAGATTCAGAGGCTTTTGTGGCACAAATTTCCCTCAAGACAGCACAATCAGAGGCCAGCTCGTTTCACTTAAGAGAGTCTGCAGAAGGCTGAGTCTCACCATAGTAACACAAAAAAGAGCCTCAGGAAATGAATTCGAGAACAATGGCTCAGGAGTCAGAATTGATTAGCTGGTACAGGGTTGTGGGACACAGAAATCTTTGTAAGAAATGATTTTTGCTTGAAAAATACACGTTTGTCCTCTGAGAAGATAAAGCATTTGTCCAGAAAAGAAAATACTTTAAATATTTCATTAAGTTCCTGCTTTAGATTTTATTTTTTAAAAAATGGGACGAATACTTTACCTTAGTGATCTTTCCTACAACATAAACCAAATTCTTTTGCAACTTGAACTCGTCCAGGAACCTAAGGAAGAAAAAAGATACAGAACTAGCATTTTTCTTTTTGAAGGCTGAAGAAAGAAACTTGATAAAATCAGAGTTGGCTTTGGAAAAAATAGCAGTGTAGTAGAGGTGAGGCAGTACCCATCTTTAATAGGAAAAAATTGTTTTGAAGCTCAACATGAAAAAAGTTCTTGAATTAAAATTTTGCTCTCATTTTGTGAGTGAATAGCTTAAATACTGAGATTTTTTATTTTCCTTGTATCCAAAATCTTGCTCTCAAAAAAAAACCCAAACAATCCATGGTTTTATAGAAAGATTTTGGACAAGGGTATTTGATATGCCAGACACAGTAACAACAAAGTCTCCAATGGACACGTTACTGGGCCTGCTTGAGCAAATCGACGATCAACGGGAGGGCCTTTACCTTTACCTTTATTTTCATAAATTCCTGAATTTGGGCATAGCTCAGACTCCACAATTCTGCTAGTGTCAAATGGATGAAGACTTCATTACATACTATAGACTAATTAGGTATGTAGCTCATTGGTGAGCCACAGAATGATCTGGAAATGCGATTATATCAAGCAGTTCCTAACCGTGAATGACTTTCACGGTTACCGATAACTTACTTAGGGGATGATACGAAGCTTAACGTGTTATTGGTACAGTAATACTGTTCATTAGGATGGTGACCACGAGCTACCATTTGGGTTTCAGCAGGAAGTCTAGCTGCTGATTTGGGTAGTTTATCCTTGGATAACAACAGTGCATGCTTCCAATATCACATATGTAGATAGTTGGAATAGCAGGAGTATTATGCAGAAAAATTGTTGGTTAGGGTGCTCTAAGTGTTGTCCCAAATTGGTTTTAGATTTTAATTGCTGATTTATTTGTAGTGTTATTTTTAACTTCCCATTAACAAGTTATCTTCAGTTAACTATATTGTGAAGTAACACATATTAGGTAAAGTAAAGTAAAGTAAAGTAAAGGCCCTCCCGTTGATCATCGATTTGCTCGAGCGGGCCCAGTAACGTCTCCATTGGAGACTTTGTTGTTACTGTGTCTGGCATATCAAATACTCTCGGTAGCTTGCCAGGCTTTCCGAGAGGGGCAGAGGAATCGAACTCTGGTCGGCCATGTTGGCTACGTGCAAGGCAAACGCCCTACCCACTGTGCTATCGCTCCAGCAGCCAACACATATTAAAGTGAAAAAATATTTGGGATTATATTTTTCTTATAATCAAACGTTAAGTCCTCCATATACTATAAGTAGATGAATCATATTCCTCTTGTTAAAGATGATGCAGTCATAATTTCTCAAAAATTTAGTTGCTCTGTACATGTGGGACTCAACTATGTTTAGTTTTTTTTTTTTTTTCATTTTTGGGCCACCTCTGGCTGTGCTCAGGGATCACTCCTGGTGGTGCCAGGATCAAACTGGACTAGTTGTGTGCAGGGAAACGCCTTAACCTCCGGGACTCCCTCGGGACCCCAACCACACCCAGGTCTGGGACGTTCCCCCTGAATTCCTTATCTGATTTCTTCCCAATAGTAAATTTTCAAAGCTACTCATAGCTTTTGCATGGACATGCTTATGCCCCCCTATTTGGTTCAAATTTATTAGAATATTTCAAAGCATCATCAGGAGAGAAGGTGCTGCATTAAGAAAAATAAATTAAAGATAAAACATGTCCTACCTTATTGCCCAAGGATATGTTAAGTAACTTATTCTCATTGTAGATGCTTTCGCTTCCTAGAAATACAAACTTGATTACTATTTCAATACTTTAGAGAGTTAATGATTTATTCATTCGGCACTTACGTTTCTAACTGCACAGACCAGGCTGTGGGCAAAGTGTGAAGTGAAGGAGCGGAGAGAGGCTGACTGAAGCGTCGCTGTCGAGGCTTCTGCCTGTGGGCGCTCGCGGCAGGGACACTTTCAGTGTCCTGCTTTCAGTTCACAGGACCCTCAACCCTCTGCTAATAATTCCCGTCTGACCCAGCGATCGCTGATCCCCATTCAGCAGCACCAGTGTTGCCCGTGCTTATGAGAGTTCAGTCTCCCTTCCTCCGGGCCCAGGACCCTGTCCTGCCCTTTCTGCTGTTTCAGGTTCCCACAGCTCCTGGAGCTGGTCTGGCTCCTCATAGCACATGCGTGTCCCTGGGCTCTGCCGCGGCCCCTCGAGGGCCCCCCACCCCGCCGCCATGCTTCCTCAGGTTCTCAGTTCCCTGAAATCTCAATTATACACAGTAAACAAAGGTGCACGATGCCGAGGTGACTTGCCAGGGGTCACAGCCAGCACACTGTGAAGCACAGGTGCCGGTCACTCCCCTACAAGGCCTTTGCTATTTGAGCATCTCCTAGAATGGTTTCTCATCCGTGGAAAAGTACAAACGCTGATGTGAATTTTGACAGCGTCCTGCCTAACTGAGTGAGTTCACGTCAGCACTGAGGTTGGCTGGCTGTTGTGGTTTTGGCAGGACTTTTGAGCGACACTTACCATTAGGGTGGTGCACGATGGTGAGATGACCTAGAAGACAGAAAACACTCTGAGTTTCGCCCAGAACTTAGCTCCAGCTTAATCCACTCTATTGTCAACACACTTGGCCTTCGAGGTGACCGAGAGGTGACAGCCTGATGCTAGAGCAGCACGCCCACACGGCCCTGCAGCGTGTCTGTGCATGTTTGCGTCTCTCTCCCCTGCTGCTGCAGCCCAGGCTCACGATTACTTATTTATTTATTTGCTTTTTGGGTCACACCTGGTGATGCACTCAAGAATCACTCCTGGCGGTGCTCAGGGGAACCATATGGGATGCTGGGAATCGAACCCAGGTTGGCTGCGTGCAAGGCAAATGCCCTCCCCAATGTACTATTGCTCCAGCGCCCCCCAGGCTTATGGTTTGAGAGATGTTTTATCCAAGCTTGCTACTTTGCTTTGGCAGGATTGAGCCCAGACTATTCCATGAAAAACCCACATTTAGGAGTGATGATGAATTGTGGGGAGCCAGAGGTCTCCATCTTGGCTTTGTGGGCCTGTACATTCCTCACAAGCGCACGGCTTCCCACTGCATGGCCCTTGGATGATGCAATCTGGCTAGCCCCTCTGCAACTCTCCACTCCTTAGACGGCTATCTTGACTGTCCGTCCACTGACCATTAGCTACGACAGAGATCAGCCCATTCTGTTTTGCGCGCACCACCTTAAGGTATATAAGTGCCTTGCAGACAATAAAGGTTGTCGCACACCTTTTATCCAAGACATGCATCCATTTCTTCTCATTCGGGAGCCCCCTCACCCAGTATATCCCTCATAGGTGGAGTCCTGCAGGTCGGGACCCCTTAGCACCCCACAATGAAGGGTGCAATTCATAGACTCTGTTTAGGTACATCCTCTCCTGCTCTGTCAGCACAGAGGCGACTTCCTTTCCTTAGAAAGTTCTCCCTGGTGCCTTCTGCCTGCCCTCCCCCCCGCCCCGGAGACAATATTTTATCTACTCTTCAGGATCAGTGGGACTGTCCAACACAGCTGACTTCGGGTCTGAGACTCATTCGTGTCGTAGTGTAAGTAGATATCCCGCCTTCTCGGTGAGTATCCACTGATGACACACAGATGAGTAATGGCTGCTGTCTCCTGGGCCCTGGACTGTTGCCCCTTCAACTGGTCTGCGTGGAGTCGCTGTGGGGTCTGAGCTGCCTTTGACGGACACATTCTGTCATTTCTCGTGACACATTCACATACCTTCCATTTCTCGTGAAAAAGTGCCCCTAGAAGGCATGGTGAGGCAGGGCAGGAGTGCCCAAGGGCCAGGGGTCAAGGACCAGGGGTCCTGGCTGTCCTGCCCCCTCCAGCCTGGCACAGCAGTGCGGGTGTGATTTAAAGCTTTTTCTGGATGAATGACATTCAGCCTATTTTTATTACTAAGTACTGACTTGTTTTTGTATGCAGATATGGTGAGCCGAATATCCTCACGGGCACTGCCCTTGATTCCCAGATACTCAGGGAAACTGTCTGTAAAATGGGTATTTTCTACATGCCCCCAGCCACACGTGCAGTACAAGCCCCTTGCCCAGCTCTCTCTTTCAGCTTCTTGGTGGTAGTTTTCATTTCTTGAAATGTTTTAAACCCTAACATTGCTGTTAATATTTTACTTTGTTATCTTTGAAATGATAATATGAGATGAAACATTTTTTACCTATCTACGTTGCATGTTTTTCAGTTTATTCCTTATTGTGAATTTGTTGTAGTTTCTTCACACTGTATAGCTTTTGTTAGCATCTTATATTTCAGTTTTGCTGCCTATGAATGTTTTCTATTTATCTGAAAATGACTTTGTTTCAACAAAGTCATGAAAGTATGTAACCTGGATATAGAATTCTGTGGTCATTTTCCCCTTTTAGTAGTAGCACTGTAGCATTGTCCTCCCATTGTTCATCGATTTTCTCGAGTGGGCCCAGTAACGTCTCCCTTGTGAGACTTCTTATTACTGTGTTTGGCATATCGAATATGTCACGGGGAGCTTGCCAGGCTTTGCTGTGCGGGCGAGATACTCTCGGTAGCTTGCCGGGCTCTCCGAGAGGGGCGGAGGAATCGAACCTGGGCTGACTGGGTCGGCCGCATGCAAGGCAAATGCCCTACTGCTGTGCTATCGCTCCAGCCCCTTTTAGTATTTTTACAATATAACTGCATCACTTAAACCTTTATTTATAAGTTTATAAGTTGCCTGTGAAGTTATGCTGGTCCTTGGGTAAGTTCTCGGCTCTCTATGGAGGTGGCTGACATAAAATTTTGGCGCGTGTTCGGGCCATTATGTCTTTATCTGTTTCCCTCCTGCTGGGACAGTTGTGTACGGCCCCTCCCTGTCCCCCCACTCACCTCAGGGCTTCAGCTCATCACACTGAGTCATTTCTACTGTTTTCATCAGTTTCATTAGCTCACTTCTGCTGCATCTACTCTGGTCTAGGCCCATTTTAAAAATGCCTCATCCCTGTCCTCCCCCCATTTCGGGCCATATCTGGCTGTGCTCGGGGGTTATGGGGGCTGCTGATTAGCCCGGGTCAGCTGTGTGAGAGGCAAACACCAACCCGCTGTACTGCCTCTCCAGACCCAAATGTTTCATTTCTTAATTGTAATTTTACTTCCGACAATTCCCATTTGGCGGTTATGTCTAGTTTCAATTTTATGCCAAGATTCCTCATTTACTCCTTGATTGGGGGCCACACCTGTGATGCTCAGGGGCCACATGTGCAAAGAACCTGCTGTCTTCTCTCTCCAGTCCCCCTAGTTACTTAAACGGCTCTTTTTTGGTAAGAGCAGAGTAGGTCATCTTAATTTTTATTGATGGCTTATTTTTCTCGCGAATGACATTTTTCCATTTCTTTTTATGTCTTTTTTAAAATACATAAAGCAGCGGAATGCTGGCCATTAGAGATGATGTACTGTGCATTCTGGATTCTGTAATATTCCTCTGAGGTAAGACTGCTGGCTGCCTTAATGCCTTTTCCAGGGATGAATCACAAAGAAAGCCCAAGATGTTTTCTAGGTCCCTCCGTGGCACTGGGCTGACAGGCCCCAGAGTCCCCGCGACTCTCCTAGGGGGTCTCTGGCTCTGCCCTGGTCAGAGAACGTCTTAGACCCTCCCAGCCATGGTGGACATTTGGGCCCCTGGGTGTCCCAGCAACTCCATGTGCTCCCAACTTGGGTCTTCAATGGCCAGAGCAAGAGCATTGCCTCCGTCTGCCAAGGGCTGCCTCAGGGACCCCCCTGGATCTCGGTTAAAATCCCAGGCTGCTATGACCAGAGGCCTACAGACTCACAAAAAGTGTTGCGGACAGTGGAGTGACTTACCTGCTTCTACTCACTTCACCTGGGCCGGAAGAAAGCACACTGGTCTCTAGCTAAGAGACAGGAACTAAGAGCATGGACTCTGGAATCTTGTGTGTCTTTGGGCTTATTTCTCAGAATTCACTTCCTTTTTATTTTTAATTTGGTACCAATGCCTATCTCAAGAGTTATTTTCAGAAATCAATACCATGACATTTGGTGTATAGTAGGAAATCAATATTATCAGCTACTAGTAATGTCCTCGTAAGATGACTTAGTTGTTTTGCGGCTCTGTACATTGCTAATACTTCAGTAGAATGAATGAATGAATTCCAGTTAGAATGAATAAATCTGTACAGCGAACTCTCTGTGCATTCATTGTGTTTATGAACTTTGTACTTTTGGAAAGTATGCTTCTGTTTTTACAAAACATGTCTAAGAGAGCTTATTCTCGATGGAAAAGTAGATAATCAAATAATATGAAAAGAAGATGAATTTTAGCAGTGTGTGTCTCCACCACGAAGTGTTAGCTGAAAGCTCGCCGTGTGATTGAAGAGGAAGCAGCGAGAGCATTCGGCAGCCGTCACGTGGCACACGGCTTCTTTTCCGTTTGGAAACGTGTTGTTTATCTTTGGGGAAGATTTACCATCTTAATAATGTTTGGTTGCTCGGAGATGAAAATGAGTGCTTCCCCCTGACAGCAACTGTTAATTATTGGCAAGGGGGGTCTGCGACGCCAAGAACCACGCTTCCTGGCCGCGGGAAAGACGACCTGAGATTTGCGCTGGAAAATGACCCACATGTGGACAATTGTGAGGGAACTGAGAATATTCTACCTTATTAAAAAAGTATGACTGCTTAATAATTTAATACGGTATAAAATGGCTTGTACGAAAAATAACAGAAGCAGAAGTCTCTTCTTTGCAACTCACATCGAAACCAAAGGGAGGCAAGTCACCAGTGCTCATCATCCCAGGTCGGGTGAGGGGAAGAGTATCTCACGTGTTGAGTCACAGCCTCAAGGGGGCCCCGAGGGCCAGGGAGGGCACCTTTCCCCTGCCCAGTGCCCAGAGTCCTGGCCTGGCCGCCGCCCGGTCACTGGCATTTGAGAAGACGCCTGTTTACCTACCATAGAAGTTCTCGTCGCCTGGCCTGTTCCCAATAATGCAGTCTCGGAGTTGGCGCAGTTTTTCCTGAGTGAGGAAAGGACAAGACAGAGAGAGGGCTGGCACCTGTCCCCATGCAGCACCTGCTGTGCCCACTGACGGACTGTGTCCCCCTCACGGATGGTTGGTGGGGACGGTTCATAAAATTCTGTTCTTGTTTGCGGCCACACCCTGTGCTGCTCAGGGGTCACTCCGGCAGGGCTCGGAATCAGGCTGGGTGCTGAGAACCGAACTCAGGTCAGCCGTGTGCAAGACAAGTGCCCGCTCTGCCACACTGTCACTCCGGCCCTCGGTTTTCAAAGTTTAAGGGCAGAACATTTACACTAGGTGTGGGACTTGAAGGTCTGTCTCACGACACTCCACGATTCTGAGCAGACGTTGTCACGTCTGAGTGCAGCAGCGAGGGCCACCGTGTGCCCACTCTACAGACAGCTGCATCTGACACCCGGCTCATGGCTGACTGGCTGCGAGTTTGTAATTGTGGACCAGGGCCATTTCCCGGTTCCCAGCGGGTGACTGGAGAGCATCTCTGGGACTCTGCACCCACGGCTGGGCCCTCCCCCCACGTCGGGGTGGTGCCGGTACCTGCTGCCGGGCCTCCAGGTCCTCCTTTCCCTGCTGCCAGCGCCGGAACCTCTCCAGGGCCTTGTCCACGGTCAGCTCCCCATTGCGCACCCTCTCCTGCAGGACGATCAGCTCCTCCTGATCAGCATCCAGGCAGCTCCTGGCCATGGCGGAGACGGGAATCCCGTCCCGGGCTCTGTCTGCGGGGGGCGGGGGGGATCAGCCCGGGGTCAGTGTGACGGGGTCAGTGTGGGTCAGTGTGACAGGGACAGTGTGGGTCAGCTCAAAGTCACTGTGATGGGGACAGTGCGGGTCAGCTCGGGGTCAGTATGACAGGGTCAGTGTGACGGGAACAGTGCAGTTAGCCCAGAGTCAGTGTGATGGGGACAGTGCGGGTTAGTGTGATGGGGCAGTGTGGGTCAGCCCGGGGTCAGTGTGGCAAGGTCAGTGTGGGTCAGTGTGACGGGGACAGTGCGGGTCAGCTCAAGGTCACTGTGATGGGGACAGTGTGGTCAGCCCAGGGGCAGTGTGACGGGGCAGTGTGGGTCAGCATGGGGTCAGTGTGATGGGACAGTGCGGGTCAGCTCGGGGCCAGTATGACAGGGACAGTGCAGGTCAGTGTGATGGGGACAGTACGGGTCAGCCTGAGGTCAGTGTGACAGGGACAGTGAGGGTCAGCATGGGGTCAGCCCGGGTCAGTATGACGGGGACAGTGTTCTATGAGCAGTGAGGGTCTGTGTCCTGTTTGGTGCTGGGCAGGGGTGGAGCTCCCTCTGGTGTGGGCAGGTGCTCGGTGCCTAGCCCTAGCCTGGGCTCCTACTTTCCGGTCCGTGAGGGCACTGGGAACCAAGCACTGTGTCACAAACATGAGCTCCATTCCTTTGAGGATGCCCCAACCAGGTGCTGGGGTGGGAACACTTGAGTGCTGGGAGCTTACGGGGCACGCAGGAGCGGCCCCACGGCCTCTGCCACCACGCGTGGCTCCCTGTCTGCCGCGTGCAGAGCGCCTGGGTCGCTTGTGAAGGGCCTTATCTGGTGCCCTGCTGGCTGGGCCAGGGAGAAGTCAGAGCCCACCCCGCTGTGGGCAGGTCCTGTGCTCTGTTCCCACCCCCGGGCCGCCTGCAGGAGAGCCCAGGGAAGCCGCCAGCCCTGCCTGGCTTCGCCCTGTAATTCTCCATCCGCCCCCACCCCGGCACCAAACTCCCACATCCTCCCGTTCCCCACTGCAGCCAGGCCTACGCTGTCCTGCGGGAGCCACTGACTGCGCCCAGTCCACCTCCACAGACGCGGGTAGTTTTCAGTAACGAAGCACTCTTTGCTATTTCACTTCAGTTTGTCTTTTGATTCTGCTGTTGGGCCACACGGAGACACCGAGAGCCCGTGAAAGCTGCTCGCCTCAGTGTCTCCACCGACTGCATCTGAGGGGCTCTTGGGGAGTGGACGGGGAAAGTCCTGGTGGAGCCTGGGGTCGCTCAGATCAAAGAGAGAGCGATGGTCTTGGAGGCATGTGGAGCCCCGCCTCAGACCAGTGCCTCTCAGGCTGCTGCTTTTTTTTTTGTTGTTTTTGGGTCACACCTGGAGATGCACAGGGGTTCCTCCTGGCTCTGCACTCAAGAGTTACTCCTGGCGGTGCTCAGGGGACCATATGGGATGCTGGGAATCGGACCCGGGTTAGCCGCGTGCAAGGCAAACGCTCTACCTGCTGTGCTATCTCTCCAGCCCCTCCGGCTGCTTCTTGCTGAGGCTCCTGTGGTCTCATTTCTTTCCTACCGCTCGCCCTCGTCTCACACTGCACCCCCCCCCGCCACCCACCCCATGATTCCCGCCTGAGTCCTGTGGAGAAACGCAGGCCAGACCCCCCATGGTTCCGTGAGGACGGGCTGGGGGTGCTTCTGGGTCCCTCTTGCTCTCTGACCCGTCATGCTGGTCAAGTCTTTGAAACTGTGACCATGCTTTATGGACCCTTCTTAGTGGGCAGGGCCCCGGGGAAGGAGAATGTTCTGGCCATCAGGAGGGAGCCGAGCATATGGTGGATTGGGGTTGGGACTGAACCAGGCTCCATGAACGTGGGCACCACGGCAGCCGCCAAGATGGATCAGCTTCAAACCCACCACAAAATCCAGCTGTTGGTGTGCAGGGTGAGAAACACCAGCTCCTGCCCTGTTGGAGAGGGGTGGGGAGGGTTGGGGAGGGGCGGAGTGGACACAGGGAGGGCGAGGGAAGGGTCAAGGAGGTGCGGGGAGGGGTGTCATGTTCACCCACCTCACTGCTAGGTCGATTTTAAAACTCACTTGAGGAAGCGGATTTTAAAACTGTATTTTGGTGGAAAATTTAAACCTAAAGTCCCTAGAATTTTCCTTGTCTTTTTTTTTTTCTTTTTGGGTCACACCCGGCTATGCACAGGGTTTACTCCTGGCTCTGCACTCAGGAATTTCTCCTGGTGGTGCTCAGGGGACCATATGGGATGCTGGGAATCGAACTTGGGTCGGCTGCGTGCAAGGCAAACACCCTACCAGCTGTGTTATCACTCCAGCCCCCTTCCTTGTCTTTTTTTTTTTTAAAGAGACAAAATTTGATCTGGGGAGATCAGTTTCCATGGAAATTGTGTCATTAATCTTCTGTCTCGGGAAACTGACCTGGTTTCTTCCTTTAATCCCAGGACTGTCACCTGGCTCACGCTGGGAGATGCTCTAGACCACTGAGTGGTCTCTGGGCAGGGGCTCTGGGGGCCCTCGAAGAAGAAGCCCTCGTATTCCTTCCCTGTTTATATCTCCTGGCTTGGCCATATGTAACTGCCAGCAGTCTCTGGATGTCTAGAACGGGGCCCATCCGAAACGCTCCCACTGTTACAGGGAAGATGGCTCTTCTTCCTTCCAGCACAGAGTGGGATAACAGGACTTCCCTCACCTTAGAGACTCTGCAAACATTTCATAAAGGCATCTTGGTGAAAACTGGTGAAGCCTGTGCTGCCTTGACAAGCCTTTCTACTAAGAGGCTGGCGCATCTGAAGGCATGTTGGAAGCTTATTTGAATCATATTCATTAATTCAGGAATGGGCAGGTTTCACTTTCCTGCTGTGCCCATCAGGAACCCAATGGTCATAATTAGCTCAAAAATTTTAGGGAGAAGTTGTTGGATAGATGATGACCTTGAGGTACATCATTAATGTCAAAATCTTCCCAGCTACTCTTATTTTTTAAAATGTTGTCTAATAGTTTTTCTGTGGATTCTGGTTACAGGGAGGTTTCCTAATATCTTAAATCTTGATGTTCCTCCAGTGCTTGCCAATACAACTACATTTGATTTTGTTCTTATAAATTCTAATGCCCACGAAAGTCTAAAGGAAGCCAAGAAAAGGCTCTACACTGACTAATCCAAACAGCAGTAAGTTATATTTTAATATCAAGAGAAAAAAATTCATTCAAACTTTGAGTAAATATTCTAGTGACCTAGCCCTTTCTGGTTAAACAATTGGGATGGGACATTGAAGCCACTAGTGAGTGGATCTGCCACTAAAGCCAGAGTAAGCGTGGGATTAGGGCCCTGCTTCCCACCTGTCACCATTCCCTCCCTGCCCCCTCCCTGATATGGCCTCTCCCCATCCCAGGAGCCTCTCCTCATGCTGCACAGATATACAGAACTGTGTCATGGTATACGTGTTAACTGTCACTTTCCTCCTTCTCCTGTGGCCGTCATCAGATTTTCCTCTGAATTCTACCCAAAGTCAATTTTAAAAACTGGATAATTTAATAGAACATTTTTTTGAGAAAAATTTCCTCATCAAGAGTTCAAAGGGGCTGGAGCAATAGTACAGCGGGTAGGGCGTTTGCCTTGCATACATCCGACCCGGGTTCGATTCCCAGCATCCCATATGGTCCCCCAAGCACCACCAGGAGTAATTCCTGAGTGCAGAGCCAGGAGTAGCCCCTAAGCGTTGCTGGGTGTGATCCAAAAAGCAAAAAAAAAAAAAAAAAAAAAAAAAAAAGAGTTCAAAGCCTGTGGATCCTAACTGTACAGTGAGTTCCTGTAGCTTTCAGCATTTATTTTGGTTTGATCACACTCAGCAGTGCTCAGGGCTGACTCTTGGCTCTACGTTCAGGCATCACTCCTGGAGAGCTCAGGGGACCAAGGCAAATGCCCTACCCACTGCACTATTGCTTTGGATCAACATTCATCTTTTGAGAGAGATTATGGTGCTGGAAAATATAATAGATTAGAAAGAAAAAGATACTGTGTCTGGAGAGAGAATTCAGTAGGAAGGGTGCTGTCCTTGCACATGGCCAACCTGGTTCAGTCCCCCATGTCCCGTATGGTCCCCCGAGCCCATCAGGAGTGATCCCTGAGTGTGGAGGCAGGAGTAAGAAAAAAATTATTATATTTTTTATGGCAAAAGTTCATTGTATAATTCACTGGAGAATGGAATTAATCAATGCACAGTGGTTTACCTCAGTTGCCTTTTCTTGTATTCATGGAACTTTTGGTCTTACTGGGAGGTGATTAAGTAAATGCAAGTTGAGGTCAGTACCTTGTTTCTTGGGACCAGGGAACTTGTCACCATCAGATTGGCTTCTGGCTTTTTGTTGAAACACTGTAGAGAAGACAGCATTGAGTCTCATTATTTATTGAGCACTCCATGGAAGCCTCCAGTAAACTAGCATGCATTCATAATTTCCCCAGTAACAAGGCCTGAATTGTATTAGTTTTGAGTAGGAGGGGTATTAAATATACATTTTTCCTCATTTGTGCAGCTTATCATTCGTTTCGAAAAACATTTTCTCTGGGTGAAATAATGTAACACTGATGCAATGTCTCATTGAACAATTTAAATCAACACAGGATTCCATGTTGAAAGCAGGTAAAGATAAAAAGTTGCATTTTGTGAAATGACAAATGTTGAAATCACATGAAAAATTCCATTTGTACAGAAATTACTCATGCTGACTTTTGATGATAAGCTAGGATAATGACTGTTTTTTCTTGAACAGATGGAAAGATGGTTGTATTTCACAGATGCAGCAAGACACTTTGTTCTTACATCATCTACTAGACCTCAAAACAATTAAAACAGCTTATTTGAATTGCTTCATTATCTGAAAAGTGCTTTGTTCTCATTTATTTCCTCACCCAAAATTCTCAGACAAGTCAGCATTACTCACCCCATTTTGCAGATGACAGATAAAATCGATTGTTTAATATTTATTGGACACCCACAAAGTTCTCTGTCGCTTCTGGCATTTGTTAATGAAAGTCTACACTCTTTATAACTTGACATTTGCAAATGAATATCCTAGAGTTCCATTTATTTTTCACGGACAGTCTGTATTACTGGGCTTGGGAGCTGGAAAAGGCCTTCAAGATTTAGTTCAAACTTGTATGTTTATAGATGAGGTGAAATAAGTAACTTCTTAAAGGCTAAGGTGTTTTGCAATGATTACGGAACTGTTAGGGAAGGTGGGGTTCAGACCCTCAGCCTTGAAGAATTGTTGCTTGGTTCTTCACAACATTGCTAGCTCTTCACTCACCACCGTTTCCTTTACAAGAGAAGAGGCACAGGGAGGGCGTGCCTGCTGGTCTCAGCAGGGTCTCCTGGGCCAGCAGCTGCACCCGCAGTTACCATAAGACCAAAGACAGGAACCTCTGTGTGATCAGTCCAGGTCACGTTCTTTTGAGCGAAAGACCTCGGATCACATCTCCTCATTTGTTATTGGGCCGGTGGGCTTCTGCTCTTGTCTGGGGGAGAGTATCTCCACTCCACTGGTCTCTCTCAATAGAGAAGATAGATACACTTTCAGCATAAAAAAACTACATAAAACAAATATCTGGGTGAAAGCCAAATTTCTGTTTCAACTTAGTATTTTGAAAACATGCTAAATATAGCTTGCGAGTTCTAGGTTTGTGGCTTACATTTTTCCTGTTTGCCATGTGTGAATGGATTGTAGGTTATTAGAGGCATTTCCCTACATTGGCCAGTTCTAAGAATCCTTAAAGAAACCTTAAAAAAGGAAATATTTTCAAATTTCAATAATGTGCAGATTATATCCCCCATTTTAAAACAAAGCTGTTTAAAACTATTTTTAAATTGTTTAAAATGATTTAAAATCATTTAATAACAAGACAAAATGAAGTTTTAGTCTGGTATCATTAAGATGGAAAAGATTCTGAATCCGAAGATAAAATCAGACAAATTCTCCAGGTTAAAAATACATTAAAGCTTAAAAACTTTGGAGTTTTGCAATTACAGGGACTTGGAAGTGGAATTTATTTTCCAGATTTTGGTGTTAGCTTGTTAAAATACTCCTGAGGATGTGTGCATGGCCAGAGTGTTAAATCACCTGGTCTGGTTGTTCAAACACAGTGGGAGAGCCCTCGACCCCTGAGCATGGCCTGAGAGCCCCCTCCCATCTATTTGTTCTATTTTACCGAAATGTTTTCTGCTGGTGAATTCATGGCCTTTATGAAGTACAGTGAATGTTAGCAAATGCTCTGTAAGTTTCTGTTGATGCAACTGAAAAACCTGCTGTATTAGAGATTTCACAGGGGCTTGTAGCTGGCTGCAGCCTGGGGTGGTGGGTCAAAGGGGGCTGAAAGACCTTGTTTTGAGTCCACCCGCACGGGGGTTCCCACAGCACCTGTGGACAAACCTCCCACCCTTGCAAAAGGCCCTTAGCAGGGGTCAGATGCTACTTTTCATTTCTATGAAAGCTGGGAGGTGTTTTGAATAAGTGGTTATCTTGGGGAAAGGCATATTTTAACTCCTCTCCAGGAGAAAGCTAGCCTGTCAGAATGACCACAGAAGTAAGCCCTCACCCTGAAGAACCATGTAGCTGTGAAGATCCAGAATTTGTTATCTTTTTTGTAGTTAGTCTTTGTGAACATCACATGGTAGAGACTGGCAAACTCCACGTGGCATATTCGATATGCCAAAAACAGTAACAATAACGGGTGTCATTCCCCTGACCCTGAAAGAGCCTCCAATACGGCAGCGTTGGGAAAGACGAGTAAGGAGAGGCTGCTAAAATCTCAGGGCTGGGACGAATGGAGACGTTACTGGTGCCGGCTTGAGTAAATTGATGAACAATGGGATGACAGCGATACAGTGATACAGTGATTTGTGAACTTTAAATGGCTTCTGCTAGCAAGATATCTACTAAGCAGTTCACATTGACCACGTGCCTCTATAGACATGTCACAAGAAACAGATCACGAGAACGAGTCCTGGGCTAGGAGCGCTCAGAGTTCACACAGAGTGCAGACATTTGTATACAAGATGTGCATCTGAGGAGCCTGGGATGGGTCTGAGAAGCTTTCTGCAGGAGCGGTCCCCAGCGTGGCTCTGTGGGGGAGGGTGCCGCGGAGCGTGAGCATGGGATCTGAGAAAGTGGCTTCCTTTGCCCCGCTCGCATTTTCTTGCCAGTAAAGTTGGGGCTTACCCGAGAGAACCTCTGATGCCTCACCCAACCCTGGTATTGAAGTTGCTGCCAATTCTAGCGTCCAAGTCATTCAGGCCCACAGGCGCTGAGTAAATTCTGGGTGTGAATTTTAATAGAAGAAAATAGAAGAGACCCTTCCCTTCACACTGCTCAAGTCTGTGTCCCCTCTGAACACGTGTTTTGTTTACTTGTCTCTCCATTTCTTTGCTGCCTATTTCCACTCTGGAAAAGCCCTGGTTCTCTCTCGAGCCCATACTTCTCTCTTTCTCTCCCTTCACATCTTTCTAAAGAAGTTTTAATAAAAATTGTCTTGCTCCACCCAAACAGGACTGTCCTCTTCAAAGGAGTACCGCCAAACATCAAATACTTCAGAACCAACTTGGCAAGGGAGGTGAGAGGCTCACACAGTGAAGCTACCGATCACCGCTAAGAGAGACAGAAGAGGACACCAGGAAATGCGAAGAAACTCCCTATTCAAGGAGTGGAAGAATCAATGTTGTTAAAATGATTATCTTACCCAAATTACTATCAAGGTTCAACATAAGATCCACTAAAATGCCAATGACTTTTTTTCCCCAAAGATGGGACTCTCTCTGCTACTATTTGCATGGAATCATAAAACTTCCTGAATAGCCAAAGCAATCCTAAGGGGAAGAAAGGTGAGAGGCAATGCATTTTCCAATTCTGTACTATACTACAAAGCTATAGTTATTAAAACTGCATGGTACTTGAATCAAGCTAGATCTGCAGCTCAGTGGAACAGAACTGAGAGCCCTGAGCTAAACCCCCAGATTTAAGGAAAGCTAATCTATGACAGAGGCACTAAAGAGATTAAAAGAAAATATTTTCAAATCTATAAAAGTATGAAATAAAATCTCTTCAACATATGTTTGGAAAGCTGGAAAAAATGAAACAGGAGCTGTACCTTGCAAAAATAAACTCAGAGTCATTTAAAGATCTTGAGATTTGACCAGAATTCATAGAATACAAGGCAGAAAACATCAGCAGAACCCCCAGGAAATTGATTGTAGAGGTGTCTTCAGTGATTTGACTACAGAGGCAAAGACACCAAACCAAAAATGAGTAAGTGGGTACATCAAGTTAAAAATTTTCTTGACAACAAAAGGGCTGGAGCGATAGCACAGCAGTAGGGCATTTGCCTTGTACGCAGTCGACATGGCCGACCCGAGTTCGATTCCTCCGCCCCTCTCGGAGAGCCCGGCAAGCTACTGAGAGTATCTCGCCCACACAGCAGAGCCTGGCAAGCTCCCCGTGACGTATTCGATATGCCAAACACAGTAACAACAAAGTCTCCAATGGAGACGTTACTGGGCCCGCTCGAGCAAATCGATGAACAACGGGAGGACAGTGACAGTGACAACAAAAGAGACTCGAGCTATAATCAGACCCCCTCGAAAGCTATGTTTTGAGGAAGAGACTCTACTGGGAGCTTATACTAAAAAGTTACATCAATGTTCATTTTTTTAGAATAGAGGGAGATGGTTCTGACGCGTGTGTGTTTGAATTCTTGCAGGATATTACTTTATCCACAATTTTCAAAGGTACCAACTTTGATCACACTCTGCCCCAGGGAAATGTTTTTTCTCTTCCGACCTAATACTGACAGATGTAAGGAAGAGGAATGAACATACTGACCACTGTGGTCACCTGTGAACATTAGGAAGCTGAGGACCAGGCAGCCTCAGTTACTGACATTGCTGAGCTGTACTGGGGGGCGGGCACATTCCTGGGACTGCAGCCCAACAGCACCACAGCCCTGGGGCCCCTGACCCCTCCAAAAAGTCCATAAGGAAAGAAAACCCACTTTTGAGGCTTAAATTAATCTCAATGCAAATGTTCAAAACCACCCCACAATTTATTGTAAGTACTTCTAGAATGACTTCTGCAAAGTTCTCTTTTTGACATTGACATTGAATGAAAAAAATGGTATAATATTAAATATTCAAAACATGAGGCAAAGCAAAGCACGGTTATTAGAAAATCAGAGGAGAAAAGTGAAACATAAATTCACTTGGACTGTTTCTTCAGACAGCTTTTTGCAAGGACATTTTTCATGTCAGCCTCATTTGTGAGTTATTTCAAGCACGCGGGCTTGGCTGGAGGGTGAGGAACAGAAAGCTCTGTGCCGTGGTACATGGGCATAGCCCGAGTCTCAGCATTTGGGCCAGGTTGCCGGCCAGAGAGAGCGGGACTTGAATGCTGCCTCTAGACCCACTTGACCCTCTTCTCTGAGTGAGGAGGACAGAGGCCGTTCTCCGCCAGGGACACGGCTGATTTTCCCAGGAGTCTCCAAGGCCTCTGTTTGCATTTCAGCTGCATTTGTAGGTGAGCAGCTTCAAGGACAAGTGCATAGCAATGGAAAATTTCTGAGAGCAACTGAGTTGTACTTGACATTTTGGGGTCCCAGAAACTGAGTAGCTCTCAAATAAAGGTCACACGCAACTTTGTTGCTTTGCTAAATGCCAAGGGCAACTCAAGAGTGATTGAAAATTGAAAGGGAAGAAAATTATATTCTACCCAAATCATCCAAATGAACTCGGAATAAGGCCCTGTCAACCGAGGGGGGAACAGGAAGTCATCTGTTGAGGCTGGAAACCTTCCCCCAGTGGGCGTTATCTCTACGTGACTTAGAAAGAGAAGGAGGAAAGGAACTCTTGGAAAGGAAGACCAGGGGGTGGGAGGATGGTTGAGGCAGAGAAGCCTGTGGGGGAAGAGATCACAGGAGGACTGAAGGCCAAGACTCGCCCTCTCCTCCCAAACAGGCCTCTGGCAGGACTGTAAGTAGAGCGATGAGTAACCTGAACACTAGGGCCAGGAGATAACAGGAGGGAAGGTGCGTGTCCTGCACGTGGCTGACCCCACTTCTATGCCCTAAGCACTACCCCCAAATGAACAAAACAACCAAGATCATGTAGGTAGACATTGGGGCGGGAGAGAGAGCAGTGGGTTTGATCCCTGGCATGGCATGTGGTTCTGGGCACCACCAGGTCTAGTACAGAACAAACCAAAACTTTTAGATGATTGTTGTACAAATTCACTTTCTGCTTGGGAGGAAACATTCATTTTTAAAAATCATTTGCTAATTTTTATAGTTCTTCAAAAAGTTTCATCATAGTGTTGTGTATGGTGTGTGTATCATATATGTACATATATACACACATACATATTTGATAAATGTTCTTACATCTCTCAGTACAGATTGCCTAAGGAGCAGGATGGTTTCTTTCGAACATACTTTGACATATATGAAAGGTTCCCTTTAGGAATTTGGTTTAGATCCTCTGCACATATACTCTCTCTCAGCTTATCACCCAAACATTTTCATTCCTAATATTTTCTCCAACAAATCACTAAAAAGTTCCCAGACTTTATTTTTCTATCAACTGTATATGAATTTTCCAAAAATGGAATTGGTGTTTTCATCCTATCTGTGCAGTTTCTAGGATGGTCAGTGGTGGGAGAGGCCACCCACGTGGTGGCCGGTCACCTCCCAACTCTCCCGAGTGTCAGGAAATACGGGCATTCTTTGTTCTCATCAGAACCACACGAAAACGAGGATGTGGGATCAGAGTCTAAAATGAAGCAGAAATTCTGCCGTAGGTGAAGTCATCAGAGGGATTTTATCTAGTAGACTCTACTATTCAAATCTGTTCAGGTTTGAAAAATGATTTTACATGGAATTAGGGACAAAAGGTAAAATTAGGGACAGAAAAGTGAAGACACTTCCTTTTGTGTGTGTTACAATCATTCATGAGTCGAGCAACTCTCTTACCAACCATGGAGTGAATGTTCAATAGAATTTCTCCACATGTTCAGTGACTGATGTTCTTGGATGGGGTGTCTAGATTAATCCCTCATGAGAGATTAGAAACCAGAGCTTGTCCACCCTCCTTCCCCCTATTTTTCTGTGATTCTCAACTTAGAAATGGGCAATGCGACTCACCTGTGGCTTGAAAACATTTTTCATTTGGACAGTTTGGCCCTGGGAGAATTTCACCCCCCCCCATCAGAAGACCCTTACCCCGAGCTATGTACGGCGTGGTCCCCTCTTGCAGCAGGCTCTTGGGGGGCCGAGGGGCAGGCGCAGGAGGCCTGTTGATGATGAAGGACCGGCCCCCACTTTTCTGCTTTGTGCTCCGCTGGGCCAGAACGGTGTCGTAGTCATTGTCATCGATTTCAGCAAATGTGTAGGGCTCCTCCTCCTCCCCCTCTCCCTCCTCCTCCTCTCTGGGGTCACGTCCTCCTTCCTGTCCCGAACCAGGATCACAGCAGTGCTGACTTCTTTCTGCCAGGCTTTCCAGCACTTTTCCTGCTTATAGAATTTGTAGATGGTCATTACCTTGTCGGTACTCACCTGCATCCTCGATCCTTCCAGAGAGTTTGGGTCAGCTGATGAGGGGAAGAGCAACTGCTTCCCGATGGGTAGTCAGTCCATAAAGACTGAACTGCCATCTCTGACACAACATCCTAAAGCTCACCATCTCTGACACATCATCCTAAAGCTCACCACTGCTAACAGAACGAGTTAAAGATCATGGAACTCTTGAAGATACATACGTACATGAGTATTTTCATCATTTTAGGATTAATATTGGGACATTAAGTTACGAAAGTAAGCTTCACATTTCAAATGTTTTAAAGCTGTATTTTTCAGGTAAAATGCTCTTATTTTAGGCGGGAGGGCTTTTGAAGTCTTTTACCTTTCATGGAACTGCTCTGGTATTTCTCTTAAAATTTACCTTCTCTGACCCGTGAGCAGTTTTTGAGAGGAAATTTTTTTCACAGTATGCTCAAGACTCATTTTAGCGAAAGAGCTACAGACTTCTTTTTAAATGTTATTTCTTCACTCACCCAGCTTTTTAATAAGGCTGCTTCCTCGAGGTTAAGAGGCAGCAAGGGGAAGGGGAGAAGTTGAGTTCGTGGCAGGTATCTCTGGCTTGATTTGCCAAAGCCGAGAGATGAAAAGATGGGCGGAAAGTGTCTCTCTTGGCCCTGGAAGCGCCAAGGGCTTCCCCCAGCCAGTGGGCCGTGTGGCCTTAGGGTGCCCTGGGCCCTAGGGCTTGTAGCTTATCCTCGGTTTCCTCATGCAACAGCATGGGAGTCTGAGATGAGCTAAGGTTGTTTAAGAAAGTGTCAGAGCGGGAGACCCCCCCCCCCCCCCCCACTTCCCCCATACGAAAACTGCATGGCCCACCTCGGCCACTGCTTCTAACGCAGATTGAAAGCAAGATGCTCCTTCCAGGAGCCGGGGCTCCTGTCCCGTGCTGGGGCCTTGGTTGGGCTCCTCCTCCTCCCGACACCGGTCACTGAAAGTGTCTCCCCCGTCGGTGGGTTAGAGACGGGACCAGCATGATCATGCTGGACAGGACTGTGTTAAAGCAGGAAAAGGGATATTCCTGATAACCCCTGATAACCTTTCAGTAGCTGCATGGCAAACCACAATGCCCAAAATGGAGAGAGGGAGGGAGAGAGAGAGAGAGAGAGAGAGAGAGAGAGAGAGAGAGAGAGAGAGAGAGAGAAGAAGGGAGAGAGAGGGAGAGTGGGAGAGAAGGAGGGAGGGAGAGGGAAGGAGAGAGGGAGAGAGAGGGAGAGGGAGAAAGTGCCCGCCATGGAGGCAGGCTGGTAGGGGGCGGGGTGGTGACGGGAGGGAACCTGGGGCCCCTGGTGCTGGGAAACGCACTGGTGGAGGGACGCATGTTGGGACACTGTGTGACAGAAACCTGAGCATGACCAGCTTTGTAAGGGTCTGTCTCACAGTGAGTCAATAAAAAAACCAAATACAGCCCATCTCCCGCTGGCCACCCCTATTGGAGGAGACCCAGCCAGGAAAGGAGCCGGTGTCGGCTTTACCTTGAGGTCCGCAGGGGCCGGTGTCCAGCTGGACAGCAGCAGTCAGGGGCCGGGGCGGGGGCAGGGGTGGCCTGTCGTGGGGGTGGGGTGGTTGTCCTGCGGGGCTGTCAGGGCTGTCCCCCGGAATGCTCGCGTACAAGTCCTCCGGCTGCTCCTCGGACAGGCAGTGCTTGGCCCGTGGCTCCCGCTTTGTGCCCACGGGGGTTGTGTGACCGCTGGCCTCGTCCCCTGCGCCTGGCCTTGGCGCTTGTGTGTGGTCTCGCCTCGGGGCTGTGTCTGAGAGAGTTAGCACATTAGTCCCTGTGTGTGACATGTGTGATGGGAGACACCTCCCTGAGCCCACTGGGTCACACGGCAGCGGGTGGCTGGGGAATGTGGTGACCTGGTGTCTCGTGGAACGCTGAATGCAGCATTCGGGAACCCTGGATGTCTGAAATAGTGAGCAAATGAGCAGCTAAAGCTCTGTGTGCATAGATGATCACGATTGAATATATATATATATATATATATATATATATATATATAGCTGGAGTGATAGCACAGCGGTAGAGTGTTTGCCTTGCACGCAGCCAACATGGCCTACCCGAGTTCGATTCCTCCACCCCTCTTGGAGAGCCCAGCAAGCTGCCGAGAGTATCTCGCCTGCACGGCAGAGCCTGGCAAGCTACCCATGATGCATTCGATATGCCAAACACAGTAACAACAAAGTCTCCAATAGAGACGTTACTGGGCCGGCTCCCGCTCTAGCAAATTGATGAACAACGGGAGGACAGTGACAGTGATATATATATATATATATATATATATATATATATATATAATTTTTTTTTGGTAGCTGTGTCAGGAGTGGGGAGTGGTAGGGCTGGAGTGATAGCACAGTGGGTAAGGTGTTTGCCTTGCATGCGGCTGATATGGCCGACTCAGATTCAATTCCTCTGCCCCTCTCGGAGAGCCCGGCAAGCTACCGAGAGTATCTCGCCCACATGGCAATGCCTGGCAAGCTACCTGTGATGTATTCAACATGCCAAAAACAGTAACAACAAGTCTCACAATTTGTTGTGAGATGTTACTGGTGCCCAAATCAATGAACATGAGACGTTATTGGTGCCCAAATCAATGAACAAAGGGAGGACAGTGCTACAGTGTTATGCTTTTGGTACAGAAGTATCGAGTAATCTCACACATAATGATAATTCTCTTGTTTGAGTCATTGTTTGAACAGTTATGTGTTTCATTGCTTGCTTTTTAATTTTTTTGCTTTTTTTTGGGTCATACCCAGTGATGCACAGGGGTCACTCCTGGCTCTGCACTCAGGAATCACCCCTGGAAATGCTCTGGGGACCATATGGGATGCTGGGAATCGAACCTGGGTTGGCTGGTGCAAGGCAAATGCCCTACCTGCTGTACTATCTCCCCAGCCCCTGTGATTGCTTTTTTTGAAAAGAGTTTAGCTGACCAATAAGTAGGGGACAGAAAGGAGAGTATGTGGAAAGAATTAATTTAATTTGCTTGTAAATAAAGCAGTAAAAATAGGCCCGTGTCTTTTCCCAGATGGGGTCGTGCTGGCTTGATGCTGTAGTTGCTGGTTTCCCAGCTCTAGGTGAGTGTGAGGGCTCAGGTCAGGCCATCACCAGGAGCTCGGAGTCCAGCCCTGGCGCTTACTTCTTGCTGGGGGATGTTCTCGCCTTGCGTTTTTTTGGGCTTTGTGCCCACGACCGGTCGAGCAGGGGTGAAGCTCCTCCTGTCTCATCCCTTGGACTTGCTCCAGCCCTAATGACTATTTCTGAGCAGGTGACACCGTAATCCGTAGGAGTGTGGAGGGAAATGCTATCTTTTTTGGCTGCTAAGGGACGTGATTCAGTGGGAGCAGACCAACCTTCCCAGGTCTCATTCTCCCCCCTCTAAAGTGCCTTCTGGGGGCTGGAGAGGAAGGACAGCAGGGAGGGCACCGGCCTGGCTCCTGGCCTATTTGAGTCCCATTCCTGGCACTGATGGTGCCGCGAGCACAGAGCCAGGAGTAAGTCCCGAGCACTGGCTAGTTGTGGCCTGATAAACAAAGACCATATTCTGCCCCCAAGCCCCAGAGCCACCCTTTCAGATGCCCTCAGCACCCACATTCTAAGCCGTGACTGGAATCTTCTCTAATCCATCGGGAAGACACGGAAAGATCAGAAACACTCTCAGTTTAGGTGCACTGGAATCGTCTTCATGGAAACTCTGCTTTCAGTCAGGAGGCCGGGCCCTCCCTGCCATTCCCAGCAACCAGGCCGCTGGCTTGAGCGGGTTTGAGGTGATGGTGCTGTCGCCTTCTGTGCGGGCGCCCTGGCGTCCAGCCCTCTGCACCTGCTCTGGGACCTTTCATGGGCATCCCGACAGCACTGGAGCTTGCCTGTGCCCCGTGGGCTTGAGGGAGGGCTCGGGCCCATGTGGGTTTCGCGGATAACAGGATGCTCTTCTCTGACTGTTGGTGGCTGTCCTGAGGGCTGACTGTCATGGGCTTATCAGGGAAAGGCTCACTGATGGTTAGCATCAAAACAATGGAGTGGTAATATGATGTGGAGTGTAGGAAATACAGCATGTTCATCCCTGTCTATAATCACTGTCATCCTGTTGTTCATCGATTTCCTTGAGCAGGCACCAGTAACATCTCCTTCATCCTAGCCCAGAGATTTTAGAAAGTGCCACATTCAAGGCTCTTTCAGGGTCAGGAGAGTGAGACTCATCATTGTTGCTGGTTTTTGGCATATTGAATATGCCATGGGGAGTTTGCCAGACTCTGCCATGCAGGCAGGATACTTTTGGTAGCCTGCCAGGTTCTCCAGAGTAAGAACTAGATGATAAGATGTCGCGCAGCTGCACGCTTCCGGGAGCAGGGTTTTATAGTCTCTGGGTCTTGGCCGTTGATGGGATTACACGGCGCTGGGGGCAGTTGGTGGGTATAAGCCTACATACTGGAAGATGGCTGGGAAGGGCCTTGGGGACGGCCAGGCCCTTGGGGGCCGGGCGCTGAGAAGCAGGTGGCTCTAGGAAGCACACCTAGGGTCCAAAGCGGCCCTTTTGACCAACCTGGCGGGGATGCAAGTTTATTGAGCGCGAGCTTACTCCACGCCTCTAGTAGATTTGGCCGTTTCTAAGTTCTCTTCAGTTAAACGCCTCTCCCCATAGTCGCCAGTCTGACTCTGCCAGCTAACAGACCTGACACGGACACCGCAGAGCGGGGGTGCCTACCAGGAGGAGGGGCCAGCAGTTGGGGGGAGCCGGTCGCACAGCCATCCTCTCGCTCACTCTTCACGATGGGTTCCTCGGCCTGAAAGCAAACACAGACATTCATCTCGACAAGTCTGCGTTTTACCTAACCAAATGGAAAAGTGGAAACCTGTGGAACTAAGAGCTTTAATTTAAAGAGCACTGATAGAATTATATAAAAGTAAGCTACCTATGATCATTAAGTGACATTTATTATGAATTATATATCCAGGACCAGAGGATATTTGTAACAAATTGATTTAA